AATTTCCTCTTCAAGTGGAAGCTAGTTTGTTCTCTCCCACAGTAAGCTGTTGATGATGGCATTCAGTATCTTGCGTAAAAAATTGTTTATAAATATTTATGCCTTTTTGATGATGGTTGTAGTAGTTCTCCAAGTTTCAGCTTCGCACAATAGGAGTGTCTTGACATTCGTATTGAAGATTTTGATTTTGATATTGCTTGACAGCTGTTTTGAGTTCCATATGTTCTTGAATTGTAGGAATGCGACCCTTACTTTGCCAGTCCTAGCCTTAACATCTACATCGAATTCTCCTTGTTTATTGATGATGCTTCCCAGGTAAGTGGAAGTTTCTACATCTTCCAGAGTTCCTCCGTCAAGTATGATTAGGTTGGTGCCCTCCGTATTATGTTTGAGGATATTGCTTTTTCATTATGTATGTTGAGTCTTACTACTTCACAGGCGGCTGCTACACTATTTGTCTTCATCCGCCTGTAGCTCTTCTGGAGTTACTGCTGGTCTCAGGCCCGAGTAAAGGAGGGGGTTTGGGTGCGGGTTCAGTAACCCCATTCCATAGAAAAAAATCTTGTTGAAAAATGCCCACCAGAATAAACAAGCTAAACCATCTATACTCTGCCCTGGGAATTAAAGGAAGAATTATGAAGCTTCAGAATGAAAGCCATTTATTATTACTGTATTATAAAAGACAGGTTCAAAGTTTTGTGAATAATATATGTGGTTCGAGTTAATAAAGTAATGAAAAAAATATTTATCGGTACATGCTATTCGACGATGCAATTTAACCAACCGATACTAATCGTTAATTTGGATAACAAGCGCAAGCCTTTAAATAATGCATATGAAAAATCAGAAAATTAGTCTACATGATTGGATTTTACTCTGATAAATATCATAATTGCAGACATGTATCAGATACAAAATAAACATGAGTAAATATCATTTCAGAAACTACGGATTGGAGATAATGCATTCTATAGGTTATTCACGATTTGGTGTAATCAGAATGTAACTTATGGGGTTCATTTTTTGTTGACCATGTCAAAATAATTGATTAATCATAATACATGACATCCAATTTTAAGATATACTGGACTGATAAATTTTTACACCAGTTCGATGAAAAATGGCAAAGAAGTAAAATCCTAACAATTTCTGTACTTTTTTATAGGAGTGAAGACTGCTCGTAAAATGACTCTGATGACCACAGTCAGACAACGACGGCTAGTTGAAATTTAGGCATTTGTAATAAAATAATGAAAACATGAGACTGAAAATGACCCCTGGAATAATCTTTTTTTGCAAAAGTCATGAAGGCTTCCAAAAAGCGCCATGTATTTTTATTTGAACCATAACACATTCTGCCTTGAAGCATGGTTGAAGATAAGTAGATGTGAATACTTCAGTTCCATGTGATAACGCTTTTAACTGAATACATTTTTGACAGGATATTTAAAAAATTTGCAACATTTTCAGTTAGAATCAAGCCAGATTCTAATCTGCGTAATATGGTCATCAAAACCACGTTAGTGTTTTTATGTAAAACTTCACATCGCACCAGGAATATTTCGAGTTTTGATCGCATAATATCAAGTATTAGTTTGTTCTACAAGAATCTTTGGTAAAAGACAGCTGAATGGAAATTAAGTTTCACCGATATTTTTAGTAGAAGATTTATATCACCTAAGAATAATTCATGAATTGAGAGGGAATCTAGGACCAAATAAAAATGTCAGCTTATCCCCGGATTTCAAAACAAAAATATTCTGCTCAATGTATGTAGAAAAATGTCATATATTTTATTCAGACAAAGCACTAGAAATCGTCTTCTTTGGAACCAGTACTTATATCACTTATATAACGGTTAGCAGAGAAAACATTTCCTGGAAACAGTCTTATTGTTGAGTTTTTGTGTGAAGCCTTATAGATGCCTTTTGTTTAAAGTAATAAGAAAAAGTCATAAATAAAATATTAGGCCAAACTAAAATTTTTCACAAAGACAAATCTTTAATCTGAAGTTAAAATTACGATGGTGGAGAAGAGCAATAGCTCAAGCGGATAATTTTAGTAAGGTTTCATTGTCTGAACTGAGTGGCTTTCCATAGTACACAAAATTCCATTATCCAGATTCTTGAGCAATAAAACAATTAAATCCTAAAGGATTTACCCTTCTGATATTGTTAAGTTTATCCGTCTAAAGTTTCGTAATTAAAATAACAACGTTTTTGCAAAAACTATTCTCGCCAAATGCTTTAAAAAGTCTCTAAAAACAACCGTTAAATATGTCATAAAAATAATGGAAAAAGTTCTTAATTTCTTTTTCAAATTGTCATTTCCATATTTGTTCTAGCCAATATTAGTAAACATTGGGATCAACGATTGTTGATTCATGTGGATATTTCTGATTTAAAGCACATTCTTTTTAGCTTATTAAATTTTAAACAAATTAGTAATAAACACTGTTAACATTAGGTAAGAAAACGGATTGTGGAGTAGAAAACCGTAATAATGAACGTATTTTAGGCCACCATCCAATTTATATTTTGTGATCGATTCACCAATTAGCAGTAAACACAGACTTAATGAACTGATCTCAAATGTGCAGGTTGCATATTCAGATTCCATTTTACCGATTTGTTGTAGAAAAATTACAAGTTTTATTTTTACCAAGATAATGAAATGGAAAAAGATTTATAACTCGCTGTTGAATTTTTGAAATAATTCTCGACTTTTTGCTTTGTAATGTGTATGAATAGATACATAGTAAAATAAAGGGAAAATATTTTATTACAGTCATATTTGATGATGACGTTTCAAATGATAAGTATCATGCTTTCCTGTTAATAAGTCCCTAATTAGTTCAATACAGTGTTAAATAGAGCAAGAATAAAAAATGGGCAGAATGAAATGAACTTATTTTGTTTCGTAACGTTCTCATAGGTTTTTTTCAACCTTTAATTACTAATTATTGTAAAGTTTACATACTTATAACAGTAAAAATGGGTATGTATCATCATTTTGGAGAAATGATAGTGTAGACATAAAAAGAGCATTGTAAATTAATATATGCGAGAAAAGATTCTAGACCGTCAGACAGTAACAAGAGGTCATGGAGAAAATAACTGATTGATTATATAATGAAGCAGTCGAAAACAAATTAACAACAATTAAGAATAACATAAGTTGACATAAGTCCGTTAAAAAATAGTGTTATGAACACAAAATATAATGAAATTAATATAGAGATCTAAATTGCAAACTTGATACAAAAAGTTGACGATGAAGAGGCTGTCGTAAGGAAAGACTTGCAACTGCTTCCTTTGTAATGCATATGGCCGGGTTGAGTCGTTTGACGACTATAGCTACAGCAAATCCGAGAAAGGCTTTTGGCAGTGCTGTTGTGGAACCTCTCTGTAACCCAAAGAATCAAGTTGATAGACTGAAATCTTTTAGCACCATCTATCAAGAGTCAACTTCCATTCTTTTTTAATTAGCCGAAGCTTTAGTCATATTTGAAATATTTGACTAGATAGATGGATATTTTAAGTAACCGTTAACAGTCGGTCATATCAGCCATTCGAATCAGAATTCATTAGTTTATAGATTCATTAAACTTAAGAAACTTGTGATAATTTTTTCCTGAAGAACTACTAGAAAAATCACTGATACTTTTCAAATTCGTGCTTATACACCGGCATCCCCTAAAACTATATAAATTAGTTATGGTAAATATGGCGAAGGGTAACAGCCAACATTGAGTAACCTGATTCCAGCAGTATTTTAAGGATCTTGATTTAAATTTCTAAGCAAACATCTCGACAGACAGATGGATTTCAGTTCATAGATACATTGTTACGAAAAAGAAATATAAGTTTTGTACAGAAATATAACCATAACATCCCCAAACAGTTTTATTACAGAATACAATTTCGGTTTACAACTGTATACCGTTGACTTTTATGTTCTGAATAGAATGACGTAAACCTGCCTCGTTCTTGTTGATAACAATCGTTACTTTTCAGAAAATATAAAGACTTTTCAGGTGTTACTGACTGCAAGCGCATACTGTCAACGAAGCAAATTTCATAACTAAAACAGAAATAATATTCTGGTTCAGAAGCTACCAAATTTTGTGGTGTAGCTTCAACTAACATCTGTTCAAGAAACAATAGATTACATTCGACTTCTGATAGGTGTTACATACTACTTATATCTGTTAACATAACTAGCATACAACACAACTTTACTCACATATTTTTGTAGAATTTTAATTGGATTCCAGAAGTAAATCATTTAATCTACAAAACCAGTCTAGTTTTGGCTACCGATTAAAAGGTTTATTATTTAAATCTTCATTAAAACTATTAACCTACACTATGTTACTATAAACAGGGCGTTTTGATGTATATCTATTTCCTGAATATATATTATGACATTCGCTTAATTTTCACTCACATTTTAAACCATAAACTCTTTTGTATTAAAAGTAGTAATACAAGATGAATATATTTCTTAAGCAGTGGTCTATCAATATAGAAGAAACAATAATTATTTAATAAATATTTATAAAGGTCTTATTTTCAGAATGAAATTGAATACATAAAAAGTTTCTATTTGGTACTCAGATCTCTCCTATCATATTCACCATAAAAATTAGAATGTTTTCTTTGATAGACAATTTTAAAGAGTTTTATTACATCAGGGATGGGTTAGGCATTATACTACCAAAATAACTATGCCACAAATCAAACAATTTTAAATATAATAACAAACGAAGATAAATTTAGACATTTTTAAAAACTAATTCCCCATTTGAATATTTATTTACAACACTCTTGAGTCTTATCTGAAAGGAAATAACAAGTTTAATATGCATTAAATCCGGCAGTATTTAACTTTTATGAAGCAACACCCATAGCTCTATAAGTTATTATTTAAAAATATGTCAAATGTTAAATAAGTTTAAGATGAATTGTAACTTTTTTATGTAGTTTTGTTTATAATAGATTATTAACAGCAATACAAAAAAATTAGTCACCAAGAAATTTTATTGTCAAGAAAAGAAAAACAGATTCACAATGAATTCAACGGAGAATGATAACAGAAATACACAGAAGTTCCAAAAAAGCCTGGATGAAACATTAGAAGGTAATAATAGAATAATAGATTAATAATGAACTGTTACTACATTTTTTTGTATATTTTAGAAAAAGAAAGATTAAAAAATATTTTGTCATCAACAAAAACTGAATGCGACTTATTAAAAAGTCGAATTGAATCAGGTGATATGAGAAAAATAAATATTAATCAACTTTTGATTACTTAGCAACTGAAGAATTAAGAAAAACTAATGAAGAAATTCAAGACATACAGAGTTAGAGAAAAATAATTTAATTATTTTATAAATAATAATTTATTTTCTTGTAGTTAAGAAAAAATTGTTAATAAAAAAACAAGTTATCAGACGACAAAGAGAACAAAAGTACGTATATATATGTATCTTATTTGAACCATGGGTTAACGAATATTCATGTAGGATTTATAAAGTGACATTATGCGCAGAAAAGCTATGTAATGATAGTATATCGTAAATATTGAACTCTGACTAACTAACAACATAGTGAGTACCAAGTGATTTTAGTCCCATAGTATTTTTAATATACTAAAGTACAGTGTGATTTTTATAACGAATAGTTTGCATGCTAATCAAACTATACCACTCCTTGCTTTTGTTAACTCTTTTCGATTACTTATAACGCTCAGCTTTAATAAAATTAAGTAAATTAATAACAACATTACCAAACTTTCATTAAAACAGGAACAAAATTATTTGTTTTAAATCGGTTACTTATCTCAGGTACATGATATTGAGTTAATATGGTTACACTAAATAATATATTCTAACTCAAGCAATGCTAGAAATTACCGTGAAAATTTTGTGGATGTTGGTAATCATTTGGTAAATAGATCGCCAAAATCAAGAATCAGTTTGGCCAAACTTTTGAGATTTTTAAGATTTAAAATCGGTTGTTATAACTTTAAAGCAGGTCAACTGCTCCACATAAATATATTCATTCCCTGGCAAACTAGTTTATGTTTGGGTATTTTATCAACTCATAAACGTCTTCGTAAATGATTTCATATTCGTCTTACAACTATTGAGTGCAAAGTTCATTAAGGGTTATAAAACAATAATCAAAGAACCATATAAATGTAACTCTAAATTTGCTTAGGTAGTTTGCAAAACACAAGAATTTTTGTTGTTTAATCCACTGATAGAAACATGATTTAATTGGAGGATTACATATCATTACATTATGATTCGGAAAGAATGCAAATAAGAGGGATTAGATATTTTGAGTTGTTCTGCTTATAAATTAAGACATAACCTTTTATCGATTCTGTGCGATTCAAACACTAAATAAAGTTATTCCGTACATAGCCATCCTTAAGATAAATGTTGGCTGAGATTACTATCTAAACTGTATGTAGAAAACTCTGCTTTTATCTTGATCATAAATAGCATACAGTATATTGTATTTACACTGTCATTACACTGAAAAGACTCTGGTCTGTTATTTCTATATATGACCACTCTGATATTTTCGAAAATTGATAACAAATTTATTATTTTGCTCCCCATATTCCTCTTATAACGAACCTCCAGCTAACTTGGATAAGTGATGGACACGATTAATATAAGTTATTAAGCAATTTTAAAATGTATAATCCAGTTTAATGTAATAAAAAAACTCATCATTTTTATGGTTTTTCCATTTATTATTGTGCAGAGCGCAAAAAGATTTATTTTCACTAATTTCAAATAAACAGAAGATTGAAAATTTGATAAAAGTCGAACGTGAAAATTCTTTAAATGAAAGGTAATCTCAACTAATAAATGATTTTTACCATTGTACTAATTCATTTACTCAACAGAATTTATCAACTACAGGAATGTATTAAATATTCAGACGATCATTGGATTTTTCGATATTTTAATGATAGAAATTTTGAAGCCGAACCACAAAAAGAAGAGATTGAAGGAAATGAAATCGTTCTTACTGAAAATAAACAAATTTAATACTTTACTGTTTGTTAATGTTATAACTGTTGGTTTTTATTAGTAAATAAATCGAAGTTGAATTCACTATTCTTTTTTCACTTATACTTTTTTATTTGCTCCTTGAGTACCAGTTCAAAATACGAAAACTAACAAAAACATACTATTTTTTGGTCAGTGTGTTGATGACTTTAAAAAATTCCATCAGCACACTTGAGTATAATAAAGTGCATCACTATGTCCCAACTGAATATGGTCAATAAATATATAAAATATATCATCAATTAGTCATAAATGATAGGTCATGAATAAACATAAAATATTAGTGTGTACATTACTTTGACGTTATTTTAAAGGATTTAAATACGAACAGTTGTACTCTTTCATAGTACTCATGATTGGTGAAGGAAATCTAAATTGTGATGAAAATCGTAAAGCACTAGATGTTATACCACCATTAAAAACATGAAAGTACTGGGCAGTCATTTCGTCTTAGTATGGGACTCCTCAGGGGTGTGCACACACGATCTGCACTCGGGCTTCAAACCCGGGACCTCCTGTCCTGCACCGGCTCAGTAGTTCAGAGGTTAAACCTCCGCGTGCGATGTCGAAGGTCCTGGAATCAAATGCCGAGTGCGGAATCGTGTACGTGCATCACCGAAAAGTCCCATATTGGGACGAAACGTCCGTTCAATTATTCCAGGTTTTTATTGGCGGTCCAATATCTATCGATTCATGATCTCAATCATGACTCAACAATTTCCATAACCCTATACTGATAAAATCTAAATTGTTTAGGGTGTTATGTGTGTGTATAGTTCAAACCTAATATTGTAAAATGTCAACATTTTGAAGATTTCTAAATCAACCCTAAAAATAATTGAAAACATAACATTATGTAAAAAAGAAATACAATTCAATATTATATTTTTATTTGGTAAACTGCCAAGTACTCATTCCAGGAAATAATTTAATATAATTGTAAACAACAGACGAACAGTAGACTTTATAACTACAAATTCCAATGTCATGCAGTTAAAGGTAGTCGCCATAAAACTTCCAAAATGGATTTCGTGCTTGTTGGTTATCGCTGATTATCGCTGATCGTTATGTCGGAACCGTTATTACTTATACTTCTAAAACGAGAAGCCACTGCAATTCCCACGAGGCGAAGTGAGAACACCAAGACTGATACAAGTGAAGATTTATTAAACCCAAACACGATGACGACCCTGGTCGAAAATACACTCATTTACATGTTGATCGTACACTTATTTTGATTATTAACTAGGACGAAATCACATACGCGAAAAATACTTAGAGTTATAACAAATCACACCGCGTGTCATGCCGAACATAGTTCATGTCAAATCAATACAAGAATATCGTATCTGTAACAAACATTACACTCAAATAAATTAATGCGTTACCGAATAAAAAATTTACCACTAGAAAGCAAAACAAATATTACACTGAGTAATTATCACATTGAATTAAGAAAGGGGAAGTAATAGTGAACAAAAATCACAGTGAGTAGAAGAATGTAATTTTGCTACCTAATTCCATTATATCAGTTAGCACACGCCATCAAGACCTTCCTATAATCTGCAGAGAAATAATATTCACTAGTAGATAGTTCCACAATCTAAAACATGATCACTAAGCTATTCAGGTCATAGTCAACTTACTACAAATAAAATTATAAACTGTTCTACTCCACCTCTCAAAATATCAAAATAACTGTATGAATCAACGTGTTTCATTACTAGTAGCCTGTATGACCAAAATTCCTAATTTTAGTTAACTAGACATGAGACTGTTAACTCTTGGTGATAATAGGAAAATATAAATTCGAAAATTTGTGTATTACAAGTCTTACAAGTAAAATATTATTAATTTCTTCATTTTTAACATTATCACATCCTGTATTACTAAACAAAAATTTTTATGGTTCATTTTTCGTTATTTTTTAAAGTTTATTTGTCAAAGAACACATTTATATATAAGTCAATTGAAGCTAGACCATCATGGAAAACCTGGAAGCACTGGATGACCTTTTCATCCTAGTGTAGGACTAATCAGCAGTGAGCATCTACGGCCGTTCAGTGCTTCCAAGTTTTCCATGGTGGTCTAGCTTCAAGTGACTCATGAACTGAATTATTAAATTACTATAATATCCACAAAAAAAAACCCCTCTCTAATTACATTTATATATGTTACTCTATTCTAACAGGAAATGTGTATAAACTGAATTTACTGTCAAATAATTTACTATATTCACTAAAAACCCTATACTCTCACTTTCAAACTTTCGTATCTCAACCAAAAATTGTTTATTTGTTTTTATTACCTTCTACTTTAAACGACTAACTCCTACCGTTTGACAACAAAGTCGAGAAAAAAAACATTAGACTATAGTTACTATAACAAATACCTGCTGATATTTTTCCAACTACTTAAAGTACTGCACTATAATAATGATATTTATCATTTTAATTCATATTAACAAATTGATTGACTTGTTCTCTAAAGTATCAAACAATTTGTTCGATCTAAAAAAAAATTTGTTAGTTGCAATCTGATATTCTTTAAAGTATTAATACAAAAACAAGTAAATTTAATCGGTGACCTTAATTAATTTATTTATAAAACTTTTTTTAAAGAAAGAAAAACCAAAATATTTAAAAGTCAATTGATTGGTTGGTAACCATCTTCTTTAAGTAATAAGGATTAGTAAATAATATAAAAAGAAGAATACGTACAATTGTACTCTATAAAATTTATTCACTTAATCAAATTATAATAATGTTAATATAATTAATTCACATTATTAATAAGCAATGAATGGAAATGGAATAATAAAGGAAAAGTCAACTACTTCAGATTCAATTAGTAATCAGCATAGAATTACAACACCTATTCAACCAACATTACGTACTCGCAGTATATATCTTGTTTATCCACCACCGGTAAAATATGAACCGAATCCACCACCTAGAATTAATCCTTATTTTTATTCGAAACATGCTAAAAATATGCTAGCTGAAACAACTGATGCTAGTAATTATATTCATGAAAGAGCTAATCATATGTTAAGAAATGAATATGATAGATATCATCATTATTATTCTAATTATTTTTATGGAAATATGCGAGAAAAAGAAGATTATCGGTAAGTTATTACTTTTAGTTATTTTCAAATTAACCAATTTAACGTTTAATATTAAACAATTCGGTCTATTTGTAAACGGAACGCTTCAAAATAGCATTAATTTAACGTTAATAAAAGCAAATCTGTTAAACCATTCTAACTTTAATGTCCAGTCAATATGGTACAACCAGTTTTTATTATTATCATTATTATTACGCTGGATTAAACTACTTCTCTATTAAATACATAGTAAATTGATGTACTCATAATAATGTAATGAATAAGTAGATGGGCACAAATGAAAATGGTTTATAACCTTATTTATTGCATTTTAGGCAATAGATTAAGACAGATTTGTTGACTACATCGAACTACTTTATAAAGATGGAAGTCTATCAAACCCTATTATTAGACCTCTAGAAAAGAACATCAAATGAGAAAGTTCGGTTAGTACTAGAAAATCAATTTACGTGATTAGTCACTATTCTGAAAAATATATAATGCTGATTAGAATTTCTTGAAAGTTTGGTAAAACTAGCATTTTTAAAGTCAATTTTTGTTATTTGGCTTTATTATCAGTGATACAATGAATTTCACAAACTTAAAATCTATGTAATCATTTTACAATGGTTACCAAAAGGTTTTTTAGAATCTGTACACAGAGAATGAAACATTTATGGTATTCACGGATAAACTATTTAAAAATATATTTCAAAGACAATAATGAAAGTACAGAGAAATCGATTACTTTTCATTCCTAAAGTATATGTATTTAACTCATATATCTATAACGAACAAAAGTTTGACACTAATGATTATCAACAAAGTTCGCATTTCGAAGCTAAAATCACTGTGACTCTTTTTAAAATCAAATCTTCTGATGAGCCAAAATAAACTTTTGTAGTACTGTCAAGTGGATATATTGTTTATACAGGCAGAAATATATTCTTTAAAAAAGTAAAGATTAGAACATAAATTTAGTTACTGACGATTATATAAACCTTTCCTAGTTAGTTAAGTTAACAATAAATCAAGATACATAAGTCTGATAAAATCTGAAAGTATTTAGATTTCAAGAGTCAGAAAACTATGTGGTAATAAAGTATGTCATCGTGATTGTTGCTAATAAAAGTGATTATGCATAGAATTGGAAACTTATTATTTTCAAACTCTAAAATTAATAATCACTGGGGTGTTATCAAGTTTAGTTATCTATAATTAAGGGAAAAACTGAAATTCACTTTAGAATAAAAACGAGAAAGAAGATCAGGAAATTAGTCTAAAATCTTTAAACATAGATTCATAAATGTATGTAATTACTTTAAGGGAGAGTAAAACGTTGTCAAATGTGATCTACTGAGAAACCTTATTTTTTGAAGTAGCTAGTTATCGCAAAAGTGAAATTATTCTAAATAAAACTAACTACCTCCGTCAAATATGATATTTCAAACTGTTTACTTGACATACAGGGCTTACGAAAGCATTTAGTAGAATCTGTAATAACCTTGGGAATTCTTTTGAGATCTATTTAGAAAGTAAACTCAGAAGCAATATGAAAATTAACTTGAGCAAACTCCTGGATATGATCTATTATATTTCAATAATTGCTAAAGACGCTTTTAAGTGAGGGATCGGCTAGTTATTATAACTTAAAGCATAAATCGAGTGTTTCATCCAACTGTAATCAATTGACTTCATAAATATCATCAAATTCTCAAGGTCTTATTATTTGTGAACAAGAAGACAGGTCAATTCAGTACTTTCAAGTAGTCCTACATCTTTATAATAACCATATACTTTCAAATGACTAGCTTTGACCTAGACTCCTGAAGTTCTAGTGAAAAGACTTAAATGGTAGCTTTCAAGTATACAAGAAGTATAAAGTTCACCCCTGACAAAATTTGACAATCGTCACAGAATATCGTCAACTTAA